TCTACACGTTGCAGAATACCTTATGCCACCAGACTTGAAATTCTAGACCAAGAAAATCTAGAACTATGCCGCCTTCGGTCTGGTCTAAGTATAGTATAGAAAATTATACACTGCAATATCCTACCTGTCAATGAATACTTCAGCTTCAACCATAACAACACAAGAGCAAACAATAGATACAAACTCAAGGTTAATTACACCAAACTAGATTGAAGGAAATACAACTCTGTATCTCACCCTCTCATTCTCTCTCTCTCTCTCTCTTTCTCTACACACACATACACGCGCGCGCACACACACAATGTATAATAATATACACCAGGGATCTCCAAACTGCCTTTTCTAATATCCGCCCACCCCTCCGGAAAAAATATTTGTCAGGATTCCAGCAGTTACTGCAATTAAATCATAAGCCTCGAGCCATACTCCCAAAACTAAAGAGGATTTATTTGAAGTTAACATTCTACATCCAGCACTAACCTGGGAGTAGCCAACTCTGAGATACGTAATTCACTGTCACCCTTGATCCTGCTTTCCTTCCCACCCCTCTGGGTGCATCATCGAACGAGCAACGTCCATAGCCAAGAGTCATCAATCATGCTCTCCAATTAGATTTTTTTTCACAGCAGAAGCTTCAGCCATCTAATCAGTCTTTGAAGAAAATATGAATGGAATGTACTTTCGATTCCACACTGTTGCCTGCTCTTTGAAACTCTTCCCCTTTCTGTTGTCAACTATAAAACACGTATACAAAATGTTTTATGAGTTGACATTATTACTGAAATTTGATAAAAGCAATTTAAAATGGAATATGATAAAAGTATATTTCGGTGTTACCCCTGCAATTTACCCCAATCGGTCCCACACATGCAGATCTCAACCGAACCATTTTGCTTAAGTACTGTGCTGTGTTAAATATTATTTTCAGATTCTGGCTGCACATCAGGTAAGTTATTTTGATGTGGGGGTCCCAATGGGTCATTCATTTGGTGTATAGACTGAGGTACCTGTCTCTCACCCTCTTATACAGGTAACAATCCAATAGGGTGCAAATGCAGAGATATCCATTGTAGAATATAGAAAGGAATTCCCATATCTGACCATTGTGTCGAACTGTTCGAATCTGGCTTGTGTAAATATCTCCCTAAGAGGTTTTGGCAGTTGTAACTTCAAATAGCTGTCTATTTGAAAAATACTTTTGTATTTGCTCAGCCTTATCAAGTTACCCACCTTACTAAAGATAGCCGTATCATTTTGTCTTTCGATATCCTTAATTCTTTGGGCAGCTCTTTTTTTTAAATTGTTCTCCTGTTATGCAAGAGACAGGAAGGCAACAGCGTCTTGCAAAATGTGTTAGTTTAGTGATCCAAGAGATTTGTGACCGAGATTTTAATTGCTCCAGTAGACATAACTTGGGGCGTCTATCAATCTCCATTTCATTGACTCTGTGCAAGTATTCTGTGCAAGGAAATTATAGGCTCTAACAGAGGCTGTGATTCTACCCAAGGCATGACTGATGGTAAAATTCTTTGCCTAAAAATAAAAGTCCTGTTAAGAAAAACACACTGCCTTCTATCTCTGTATTTATGAATATAGATGACGATGCTTTGAGCAATGCAATGTTTGAAGGGAGCTGACCTTTGCATTCTCATGGAATGAATGACTTGGGAAGGATTGTGGTTGAGATGGCAGCTTCAGAAGAACTTCTTGTTCTGATGTACAAATATTTACTTTTATCTGATCCACTCAGGGGGAAAAAAGAAGAAGGCGAATCTTTGGAAATCAAGATTCAGCTTTTTTTTTTTTTTTGGTAGGAAGCCTCCCCCTCCTGGAAGAATGAAATATTTGGGGAAATATTAAAAAAAAAAAGGCAGGATAAAATATTTCCCCTAAAGGGAGGCAGAAACTCAGCTTCCCTGCCCCAAGCAGGAACTGAGGAGGCCAGCTTTTAAAAAAACAAATTTGGCAATCCAGTCAGAAAGATAGAAACCTAGATAAGCAACAAACTGTTGGAAGAAATATCCTTCTGGGTTCAGTTCCAAGTGGGGAAAAAAACACTGTAAACATGGAGGATGTTTGGAAAGATGGTGGACAGGACCACATGGCTTGGAGCTCCAAAGTGAAAAGGATGATCACATGCTTCAAGATGTTGGGTGAAGGAAAAGAAGGGCTGACATGCTGAAAGTGCAGTTGTTTTATACCCTCTGTTGGGATTTAAATTTGAGCTTGTATTCGGATTGCTTGTCAGACTCCCATGGGGCCATGCAGGGGCAACTCTGTGTAGGCTGAGTCCCAGGCTTGGTTGAGCCTTGCTGGATGATGATGTAATGAAAAAGGCTTTGGGCAATTCCTACTTTAGCTCTACCTGGAGTAGATCTTGGTTATGTAAAATAGACTGGCCCAGGCCAGAGTAATGGGTCCATTAGCAAAGGGGAGGGTGGGGTTGGGGGCTGAGTTTCTGCCTCTTTGAGTTTCTACTTTTCTTTTTAGGGGAAATATTCTGTCTTTTTAGTGTATCCTAAAATATTTCATTTTCCTAGGAGAGGGGTGGGTTTTAACTTCCAACAAAACAAAAGGTTGACTGAATGAGCCCCCACCCCACCCTCTCCTCTGCTAATGTACCATTACTGAACCCAGAAGGACCTTTCTTCCAACAGTCTGTTGCTTATCTGGGTTTCTGTCTTTCTTCTTAATCCCAGAGTAATAATGAACACGTCCTAAGCAGCCCATGATCTCTGCCTCCCACAGAATGAAACACGCTCTCATGATAGAATCAGTAGGAAAATTTTTTGGAAACCCTACTACTGACTAGAACTCACCCCTTCCTGCTGAGTGGCTCAAAGTCCCACAGCCGGTTTTCATGCCCATGGCAAGACTATAATTCACTGCTCCTGGTTTCTATGCCAGCACCTTAACTACTATCCCAAATTGACTTTCCAGAATAACCCCCAATTGTGTTGGCTGGGAATTGTAAGTCCTGTTCTAGTCCCAACTCCTTTGAAAGCCTCGTGGTTGGAGAAAGGTGCTCTTTGGATGGTGATTGGAACAGTCAAGAACTTAGAATCACTTTGTTATCAGACATCCAGGTAGCCATGTTCTATTATTCACACCTCTCCTTCAGTGGTGGGATTCCATTATTTTTACTACTGGTTCTGTGGACATGGCTTGGTGGGCATGGCGTGGCTTGTGGGCCTGGCAGGGGAAGGATACTGCAAAATCCCCATTCCCTCCCCCCCCCACAACCTGCTTTCCAGCTCCGTTCTCCTGTGCAGGGCAACCAAAGAAGACCCAGCCAATCAGCTGGGACTCTGGAGGGGGAGAATAGATGGGGACGGGGCCCGTCAGAGGCGGTATTTGCTGGTTCTCCTAACTACTCAAAATTTCTGCTACCGGTTCTCCAGAACTGGTCAGAACCGGCTGAATACCCACCTCTGCTCTCCTTGTTTCTTAAAATAATTTAGAATATTCTAAGGAACAAAGAGAGGTGTGAATAACAGAACATGTCTTTTTCCTATTCATGGAAAAGCAGAATGCTTGTGGACAAAACTGGATTTTTATTTCAACAATAGGGAACGGCCGAATTCAAAAATATGCCGCTGCCTATTAATAGAGAAGGGTTTTCTAATTTGGATATCCATCACCTGAGATTAGACTGGTCGACCTGGCTCAAACCAAATATTGCAGCATGCTAGATATAGGGGTAAAACTGATCATCTGTCTGCTAAGCTCAGATCCCCCGTTTTCACGCTGCAAAGATCTGAACGTTCCTCATATGCTTTTCTTCCCGGCCCATCAGATGGTGCCTTACAAAATCTTAAACAGCTCCTTCTGATTTTTTTGTTTCCAGAGTTATCACTCTCCAGCTGCAATACTGTCATATTTTAGACTCTACCAAGAGAGGAGGAAGTATAGGAAGAAGTTCACGCAATGCTGCCATCGTGTGGCTGAGCATCACCAATCAAACCATGTGACCGAAGAGATTGATGGACTGTGTGAGAGTGATTTATCAGCCCTATTGAGTACTGTCTTTGAGGCCAGAGCTGTGTTTCTCAACCTTTGCAATTTTAAGATGTGTGGAA